TGCAGTAAAGTTAGTCTTTTGACTTGTCCTGTTACTCACAGAGGTTGTACCATTGTTTATTCTGAAACTTAGAAAGTGAGTTAACTTTCAAATTGATGAAAGGTTTTGTATGAAATTTGATTACTGCAAAATCAGTAAAATCAATTGAATTCTTTTTTTTTACATTGTCATCTATTGGGTCCTAATTCTCATTTATTTATTTTATTCTATTCCTTATCCTATTGTTTCTGAAGACTGACTGAAACTTAAAATGGAACCTATTGCTATTTACTCAGGATATACTATACTTGGCTACCTTTCCTAAGGTACCCAATAATAAGAGAGAAGGTGCTAGGAAGGTAATATCCTGCATAAACAGAGTTTAGAATTCAGTGGTTATTATGACATATTGTGTTGGTGAGTGTTGTTTTAGAAATGCTATTCAATATGCTTATATGCTAAGTAATCCAAGTGTGGGATAAAGTTCGCAAATACCACTAGTTTTCAAGAGGAAAGAACTAGGAACATCTAGGAAAAGAGCAAGAGAAAGGAAGTAATGGCAGGCTAATTTAAAGAAGCATGACGGTGGGGTACCTTGTGAAAATCAGAGGAACATTTACTCTTCCAGAATACCAAGCCAATTGGCATACTCCTATCCTGCTTATGTTTCATTTTTTTATTAAGATATCATTGATATACAATATTATAAAAGTTTCACATGAGCAACATTGTGATTACTAAATTCCCCATTATCAAGTCCCCATTACAGTCACTGTCTGTCAGCATAGTAAGATGCTGTAGAGTCACTACATATCTTTTCTGTGCTATACTGCCTTCCCCATGACCCCCTATATTATGTGTACTAATCATAATGCCCCTTAATCCCCTTCTCCCTCCCTCCCCACCCATCCTCCCCAACCCCTTTCCCTTCTGTAACCGCTAGTCCGTTCTTGGGTTCTGTGAGTCTGCTGCTGTTTTGTTCCTTCAGTTTTTGCTTAGTTGTTATACTCCACAAATGAGTGAAATCATTTGGTACTTGTCTTTCTCCGCCTGGCTTAGTTCACTGAGCATAAAACCCTCTACCATCATCCATGTTCTTGCAAATGGTGGGATTTGTTTTCTTATGGCTGAATAATATTTCATTGTGTATATGTACCACATCTTCTTTATCCATTCATCTACTGATAGATGCTTAGGTTGCTTCCATGTCTTGACTGTAGTAAATAATGCTGCAAAAACATAGGAATGCATATGTCTTTTTGAAACTGGAATCCTACATTCTTAGGGTAAATTCCTAGGAGTGGAATTCTTGGGTCAAATGGTATATCTATTTTTAGTTTTTTGAGGAGCCTCCATACTGCTTTCCACAATGGTTGAACTAATCCACATTCCCACCAGCAGTTAGGAGAGTTCCCCTTTCTCCACATCCTCGCCAGCATTTGTTGTTCCTTGTCTTTTGGATGTTGGCCATCCTAACTGTGTGAGCTGATATCTCATTGTGGTTTTAATTTGCATTTCCCTGATAATTAGCGAAGTGGAGCATCTTTTCATGTGCCTGTTGGCTATCTGAATTTCTTCTTTGGAGAAGTGCCTGTTCAGACCCTCCACCCATTTTTTAATCAGGTTATTTGCTTTTTGGGTGTTGACGTATGTGAGCTGTTTTTATATTTTGGATGTTAACCCCTTATTGGATATGTCATTTCTGAATATATTCTCACATACTGTAGGATGCCTTTTTGTTCTACTGATGGTGTCCTTTGTTGTACAGACCTGCTTTGTTCTTTTTTGAAGACACTTTTGGTTTGTCTACATGTCCTACATCTTCTAGTCATTATCTTTTTCTAGGTGGAGGGCAAAATAATACAGATGGAGGTAATAATTGCATGAAATAAATGCAAGACTTACGTGTGGTGTCAGTTACTAATGCTGTCTTCTGAATTTAATAAAGTGGAGTTCCAAAGACTAGATTTTTAATATGGTAGAAGAAAATGTACCTAGTTACTCTAAAAAAGAAACTATTCAGCATTTGTGTAATTATGCTTGTCTTTGAGTGGGAACTGCACTTTCAAAGCATTTCCTTCATCTTTTAATTTCTATTGATTGCCAATTTTGGCTCAACAACTTTTCTTACAAGTTGAAAAGATGAAAGCAGAGGAGATTCTATTATCAATGATGTTACAGAATTTGGGGCATTTCCAGTCATGCTTGTTTGTTCATTTTGCATTATCTCAAAACTCATTGATGTGCTCCAATTTAAAATGAATTTTGCTGACTTAACCACAAGATCTTGGAGCTCTAATTGCCTGGGAAGCTGCAAGAATGCACCATTTGAGCTCATTGGTCCTGACATTACCAGATGCTGTTAAATATAAATATTTAAATCAGTCAAGAAAAATGAAGTTTCAGGTAAATAAATGTAATTTTTATCAGAATAATAAGGTGCAAACTTTGAGGAGACCCATTAATTATGCAGTTTGGTGGTAGTTTTGGGTATTGTGCATGAGTTTAAAATGTTCGAATGCTTGGAAACATATAGCATAAACAATCTACCATATTATTCAAGGTGGGGATCTGTGATTTATAGGAATAAAATGTTAAGAGGTGTTTATTGGGTAGAGAGTCTGGAGGTGGACTCCTGGGTTCACATCCTGCCTAGCTACTTACTTAGCTAAATAATAGCTCTGCTCTTGTTGACTAACCTGTTGTGTCTTAGTCTGCTCAGTTATGAAATGGGGTTAATGATACTAGCACCATCATCATAGAGATATTGTGAAGATTGAATGCTTATTGTATATAAAGTATGCAGAACAACACTAAGCGTTTGTTGTTATGATTACTTTCTATATAGGTCATTACAGTTTGTCTTCAGGGTATATGGAATCTTAAAGTGCACTATAGTAATACGTAGAAAAACTTATGAGGAAGTTTGCAATAAGTTAAAGCATATTGCATTGAAAAATTCAGTAATTAAGTTAAAACTACAAATGTAGTCTGTTGTATGTCCACTACAGGATACATTCCTCACACTCTAACTCACACTGTAGGGCAGTACATTTCAAAGGGTGTCCCAAGAATCAGATGTATGAGAATCAGCGCGACTGCCTGTTAAATTCAGATTATGGGGCTCTGCCCTAAATTCACTGCATCAGAATCGCTGGATGTGCAAATCAGTATTAACAAACATCTGAGTCGATTCTTATGCTGAACAGATTTTGGGGACCTGTGTTCTCAGTTATTTATGCTGCATCTAACCCTTACTCTTTCTTACTTGGAACTTGAGGTATCTTCTTGTTTCACTCAGCCCGAGGTTCTATAATATGTTGTGTTCAGGGAATTGAGTTTTGCTTTCAAAACCATAACAGACCGTATCTTTTTCTTACACATCCGAGGCCTGGCTGGCTGTCTCCTGACTCCTCCATTCTGTATTTTCTTTCTCATCCCTAGCTCACTTTGTTCCCACTATTTGTCCTAAGTGAGGTATGAAATCATTCTGACTTTAAAATACCACAGATGTTCAGTTGTCTTTGGTTTAGCCCTGAACTGCCCATAATTTCCTTTCTCACCCAGACTTTGCCCTTTTCCTTCCCTTTCTCTCATCTTTTTCATTTCTTTCCTTGGGTAAACGTTTCTGGCTTACAAGTCAGGAAAGAGTTGCAACTGCGAGAGAACTGCTTTATTTCTTCTCCCAAAGCCCTTAACCCCATGGCAGGCTTTCCTAAGAAGGCACAGCTGTAAGAAATGCCCTAGTTCTTCCGAATCTCTGTCCCTATTGACCTTTCTCTTCCCTGGACTCCAACTGAACTCTGCATACCTGTCTATGGACTTGGCTGCCGTAACCATGCAGGGCATCATTAAGCAATCGCAGACTGCATTGTTTGAATAAAAATGACAAAATTGCATTTAAACTGGAAAAGTATATCAAGAATTTATATTTGGTGGTTCCTGAATATAAAGCCATGTGGAAATATCACATACATGAAGATTTTATTACTTCTTGACCAATGTACAGATTGATAGGAAGCGTACTGGCTCATCGTGTATGTAGTGCAGCTCTCCTTTCAAACGCATGAACTTGTTATGTTCGTGTGACTGGTCACATAATCCATTGGAATCTTAATGATCCATGAGATAAATTGTTCACATTTTTAGAGGTACATCTACATTACAAAACAGCGCTTTCAGGAGGCCACTGTGCTGTTGTGCTTTTGAAAGCCTTTGAGTCACACAGCTCTGAAAGCAAGAAGGATATTGGTGACTTATAAACATACACAGTAATATGAAAACAATAGAAGTCATGGAAAAGCAATACTCACTTTACCAAATTTACTTATTTTTAAAGCAAAATGGACATTTTCTAAGAAGTGGTGTTAGTATTCTAGCTAGTAAAATGGGAGAAATTTAAGTCCTGAAAATATTTGTGTTCTTTGAAAGCATTTCCTTCCAATAACAACAAATTTTAAAAAGCATCCCAATAAAACAAATTTAAGGAAAAGTAGACACAACCAAGAAATAATTATATTAATAAAGTTTAGCTTTAACTGCTTTATATACCAGTTTCAAGAGTTTGCTCATATTTATATGATCATTACTAAATAGTTGAATAAGCCTCATTTGATTTTTTTTCTTAGTTTTGTCTTGTATTTTGCGGATTCCTTTGGGGAAAGATGGTCTTTGATTCAATTTTCACACTGCTGCTTAGGTTTTTCTTAGAGTAAATTGGAGGGACAATTTTTAAAAAACTAATAAATAAGTTTCACAAGTTATATATATATATTGCTGTGGTATATAAGTTAAAGATCAAAAAGTAGTTATGAAAAGTAAAAGAGAACCATAGAAGAGACAGATTTTTTTGACTTATCTGTGTGATCACACTATTGAATTGGGTGGCTTAATAGTTGGTGTATTTCTGTCTTAGTTGCTTACTGTCTAACTCCACTCTGTATTTATAGCTCTAGACAGCAACTAATGAAAATATATTAGATCTGTTTTGTGAATAAGATCTTTTTTTTTTCCCTATAGGGATGCCTTCTGCACTGTTATTAGTAAATCTTCTTTCAGCTTTATTCATCCCTTTTGTGTATGGAGAAACTGAAATAAGGTTTGCCGGACAAACAAAATTTGTAGTTAACGAAACAAGTACAACAGTTGTTCGTCTTGTCATCGAAAGAATAGGAAAGCCAGCAAATGTCACTGCAGTTGTGTCGGTAAGGAATGATTGTAGTTCTATTCTTCCTGAAGTAGATATGAAATTTCTTAGTTTCAGTGACAAGGATTTTTTATTAACTGTTTGAGATGCTGTGTAGCTTCATTCTGATAAATGATTTGCAGATACACTGTTGATATTGCTTATGGGATTAGAGAGGGTTCCAAGGTAGCATGTGTGTTTGATAATAACAGTATTTTAAAGATATAGACTATTTATTTAAAAATGATCATATATTTATTTTAAGACAAAACAAATAATAATTATTAAGTATTTCTAAGTAAAAGTACATTTTATTTTAGGTAGTTTGGATTCTAGATATCTCCACTCAAATATATTATCTGTGGTCATGTGGCTTAGAGGAAATAAGTGAATTACTTAGAAGTAGAAAAATGCCAATTAAAAAAAATAAAAAACCTCAGGTATGTCAGGGGGGCCCTTTTTTCGGGGTGAAATTAAGTATATTGATTGAAGTAGAAGTTAGAATTCATTAAACTACTGATCTGTCTTGCACACAGGCCATTCATTGGCTGGATTGTGTTGTTTGTGTCCCTGTTTAACAAGAAAGTAATGTCATATGACCACTAAAGATACTATGTTTGAGGCCCAAAGCACTTGAAGTTTTTGTTTTAAAGAATGTTTTTAAGCCATAGGTTAAATTATCATACTTTGAAACATTGTAAAAAGAGAAAGAAAAACTTACCTATGAAACAAACCCACTATTGTGATTTTGTGCCATTGCTTTTGGTTTTCATGACATATATGCATATATTTATTGAATCCATTTTTAGTTTGAGTATATATTATATTTGATAATCTGTTACATATAATTTTGATTGTATCCAAACATTTTTCAGGTTGCTTTGTCATTTTCACAACTTTTCTTAATGGTGGTGTCATCATGTCCCAATCATTCCTCAGTTGATTTTTGTTGAGGTTGCTTCCAAGTTTTGCTGCTATAAATGTTGCTCTGATGAAACGTTCTACATACATGTTGATTTTTCATATTTTGAATTGTTGAATGATGTTCTGGGTTGGAATAGTGTATTTTTCTCTTTGCTTAATGAGTCAATATTTAATGCTTTCTAAAAGATGGTGCCACTTTTAACATTAAGATGTGAGTACTAGTTTTCCAATACTCTTGACAGACTACTGGGCTTTCTTAAGGATTTAAAGCTTTATTTTTATAAATGAAAACTAGAAATTGATTAAAATTTCCCTATGCATGTACTTCATTTTTTACTTCTACTAAATCATAGTTTTTTTCTGGTAGCTGTTTTTGAGTTCTTTTGCAAAGGTAATCTCATTTAGATTTGCACATGAAGTTGCTCTCTTATATCATAATTATTTGCTCCCTTGAGAATTTTATTAGCAATTGCTGATAGTACGGAATGAAGCTTTAAAAAGTCAAGGAACAGTTTGTAAAGACTAGTAATTTCAAATGCTAAAGGATTTGTGTCTTCACTGTAGTTATAAGAGAATATAAATAAAACCTCATGCTGAAAGTTTCAGGAAGAACAGTTTCTTTGAAACTGATAGGAAAAATAACTGATTTTCCTGACATGTTTTGACAGGCTACTTCTACCCTTTCTTTGGGAGAATTTTAGCTACAATATGTCTTCTTGTTAGGATTGCTGTAATCCATTTCAGATCAGTCGAGAGGCAGAGAAAAAAAAATTCACATTATTGTGATTTTTACTTATTAATGTATTAATTCCTTTACCTTTCAGAGCATAAATGAATGTTTTGCATAGAATCGTTTCTTTTTGCATTGTTTTTTTGAAGGTGATTTTTATCAGTTTAATATTTGTTTTGTTTTTGTACATCCTATCTGTACTTATCAGTGTCAGTTGCTGATTCATGTTTTTCCTTTTGATTGCTCCAGTTAGCATCAGTTTTGCTTGCTTGTTCTAACACTGTGTTATATAAGAACCATCTGTTTTTCGCATTTGATAGCTGTATGGAGAGGACACAGGTGACTTTTTTGACACGTATGCTGCAGCTTTTATACCTGTTGGAGAAACAAATAGGACAGTGTACATAGCAGTATGTGATGATGATTTACCGGAGCCTGATGAAACTTTCGTTTTTCACCTAACATTACAGGTAAGTCCTTTTCCTGCTGCCTCAACTTTAAACTCATAAACTTGAAAGGTGTAAAATCTGTATCTTTTGAGATAAGCCAATTTAGGCGACTGGTGGTGGTTTCACAGAAGCCAGGCTGCCAACCTCTTTGGCCATTCCATGGTCTCGTTATTCCACAGAGAATCTTGTTCAGAAGATCCTACAACTAATTTTTGGATCCATTCAACTGTAGGGATTGCCATGACAGGTGCCCTGGAAAACCTTGTCTTCCCTTTAGCCCTTTTGTCTTTTATCCCTTCCCTGATACCGGATGGACAAAGAATGACCATGCCCTCTGAGTTCAAGGAAGAAGGATAGAAAACAGGCATGGAAGTGGGGGTTTCTTGTGCATTCAAGTAAATTTGTAGTTCCCCTGGGAAAGATGCATGAACAGCCCAAGGTTTAACTGTCCTTTATGACTTAATCTGTTGGGTTGAGGCAATGACTGCTAATGTTGCTTTAGTTAATTTTTGAAAGACATTGAGAATTTTTTAAGAATGATTGTATCAGTGTGACTAAAATTTTTATGAAAATGATGCTTGAAGCCATCATGTTTTGATTTTGTGAATTTTTGTTTCATATTCCTTTATGCTGCTATTGGATATCATAGAAATGTTGCAGAAAATCCTTCCCATATTTATTAGAAATGTTGTTTTAATATTTTATCTTTCAGTGGGCTCTGTGATTTACAGAATAATTCTTAACTTTCAGCACCTTCTACAGTGTAATAAAAGAATCATGTTTGAATAGAATTTCATGCTGTTTACTTAGTTCTCTGTTATATTAGTAATGACATTAGAGTAACTATAATATTACTAGCCAGCAATTGCTTATAACAGTCAGTGATTAATGGTTTTCAAAACTTTGTTGAAGAATTCTTGTTTAGAACTTTGTGCCATGTTGACTTAGTATGAATACATTTTCTTAATCTGTTCATTAAAAACATGCTTGTATTTTTATTCATATTCCAAATAATGACAAATTCTATTAAAATGATTGTTTTCCCTCTTATTTTTAATGTATTAATTTATTTTTGGGCTTTTAGAAACCTTCAGCAAATGTGAAACTTGGATGGCCAAGGACTGTTACTGTGACAATATTATCAAATGACAATGCATTTGGAATTATTTCATTTAATATGGTATGGTTACAATTTGATTCATTTTGTGGTTGCTAGATAATAGTTTATCAAGTTTTCTGACGTTACCTATTATCCTGTCTCTTGGTACTTGAATAAATTTGCTTTGTCCTCATCTGTACATTCCATTGGCTGTACATTTGTTTTACCTGAGATTTGAGAGGAAGCCTACCATAATGGTCATGTCTTGTCTGGATCTCTTCCTGCTGATTATTCCACCTGACTCATTTGTCACCTCCTGTGGTAGTCTCTAACTTGGGTGTTGTCTTAACTTGGTTCTGTCTGCTGTAACAGAATACCGTAGACTGAGTGACTTAAAAATGATAGCAATTTATTTCTCACAGTTCTGCAGGCTGAGGAGTCCAAGATCAAGGACAGAGCACATTTGGTGTTAGGTAAAGGCCCACTTCCACTTTCATAGATGGCTCTTTTGCTGTTTTCATATGGTGGAAGAGCTCTCTCTGGGGTCTCTTCTAGAAGAGCATTAATTCCACTCATGAGGGCTTTGCTCTCATGACCTAGTCACCTCCCAAACATGAATTTTGGCACAAACTTTCAGTCTTTGGCAGATGTAGTAACCTAGTTCCTTTTGCTTGATTTCCCTGATGGCCACTGAAAGCATTGTCTGTCAGCTTCTGAAAGTTACAGTGACTTGGACATGAGAAAAACATACTGGAAGAATATTTTAAAAAATCTATAATTAACTTAAAATGGAACATCAGACATTACGGCTCTTAAAAGTTATGTAGTTAATCCCCACCCTGAGGTTTTCCCATTAATTCATATTTCTTGAGGGTTAAAATTTCTTGTCCTCTCCCTTAGTTTTTTGCTCAGCAGTTCTTTTTTTCTCATTATCACCAAATTCCTGTGTCCCTAGCCGGCCCTGTGTTCAGACGATTTTATTTTTAGAAACAAACATGCAAGACAGGTTTTCCCTTGAGAGAAATTGTTTCTAGCTCTTCAAACAATATTATCTCAAATGCAATTCAATTTTGCCACTAAGTTTTAGACTACAATAATCTTTCTGATATGGAATCTTTTTGAATCATATTATTAATTGCCACTAATAGGAGATGATGGGATACTCCCAGCTTTTTATTTATTCTCCAATTTAGATTGCTACTATAATTGGTGTATTTATTGTATGTCCTTTTCTCAGTACCTTAAATTATCTTTTAGACAAGGTGGTCTGTAGATAAATATGATCTTTATAATTGCAGGTCTTTAGTAAAAAGGATATGTGGATAACATCAATACTGTAGCAAACATTTTATAACTTCTGTTATAGCATCATTTTTAAAACTTAACTAAATTAATCAGTCATTTTTATTTGAATGAAAGGGAATTATTAGTTAATTATGAATCATGCTCCCTTAATTGCTTAACTTCTCTCCCTCCTTTCCTCTACATGCTCCTAACTGTTCACCTCCAACCTCATAATGATTTGTTTAAAGGTTTTTTGGTGTTTGTTTGTTTTTTTAACATTATACATCTCAGTCTCTGGGGATGAATCCTGGTCTCTAGCATTGATCTCAAGTACCTGGCTTTTATGGTCTCAGTGCTGCCAGGGCACCTGCCCTACTTTATTAAAATTAAGTAACTGTTGAGCTCACAGTAGTTGCTAAATCGCCTTGCTTTGGTTCCTGGCCTGGACAATGGCTATATTGATAATGAAGATAACACTGATGATCATAGCCATTTACTGGGCCTTCCTATGTGCCGGACTAGGATAATCACTTGATGTGAATTGTCTCATTGAAACCTCATCACAGCTCTTTGAGACAGGCATTCCTATCCCCATTTGTGGATGGGGATCCTGAGACTTAGTGTCAAGAGATGGGCACTGCTGCCCTAGCTGGTGGGTACCTGGCACCTTCCCTCTTCCTCCACTTCCACCCTGAGTTTCACCCCACCAGGCCAGCACATTTCAGCATTGGAAGTCCTGGCTCTTTCTTCCTCTCAGTGATCACGTTCCAAAAAAGTCATTAGCAGTTGTCTGCTTTTCAATGGCCAGCTGACTGATGAAGACAAAATAGTGGTTGGGAGCAAGGCTGAGTGGGCGTCCCAGTGAGCTGTCTTGATCTGGAGGTGCAATTAACTCATTTCTGTGACCTCCTGGGCTCCTGTGAGCATTTGTGTTTGTCATCTTTTGACTAGGGAACTGTTAAGATGTGTCAGTAGAACAGCTAGTTAATGGTAGAACCAGGACAAGAACCTAGATTTTTTCCTCATTTGTTTTATGTTCCCTTTACACTATTATTTTTAACCTCATAAACATTTTTATTAGCTACAGTTAATGCTACATTCTTATCTGTAAATCGAGTACAAGGTAGATCAATTTATCTGTGAGGATTCAGTGTGTTTCTAAGGTAACAGTTTGTACCACCTCCTACCTCTGACTGATCAGCACCTGATTGTTTCTGCTCTTCCCAATAGCCTTTCTCAATCATGGTGAGTGAGCCCAGAGGCAGAAATGAATCTGTGCCTCTTACTCTCATCAGAGAAAAAGGAACCTTTGGAATGGTCATTGTGTCTTTTGAGGTAAGTTTATTCTGAAATTATTTTAAATGGTAACATTTTAGAGTTCGTACCAGATGGCTATGACTTTTTTAAAAATCAAGGTCTTTTGTAAAATAGGCATGATTCTTAATAAAAATGAAACAAAAGCAGAGACCTTTATTATCTGATAAATTTCATGGTTAATATAAAACCATTTTCCTTGATGCTTGAGTATACTGTGCTTCTGTGAAACACAACATATCATTTTGGACTTGGGGGTAATAACCAAAATAGAATAAAAGTAATGTTAGTTCTATAAAATTCATAGAACCTTTATGATAAACCTTTTAGAGTATATAAATTTAAAAAATGCCTATACTTAGGCTTATATAAATTTATTTAATATGTAGTCTTCCCTCATTTACATTCCCATTTGTAAAACTACCTTTGATGGATGGTTAATAGTAGTTGCACTCCACCTTGGGGGTCCATAGACGTCACAGCATTTGACAGGAATAGATAGGCAGCAGGTGAGGTGCATTTCTTAGGATGCTGGCTGTAACCATTTTATTTTATTGCTTACTGACTGCATGCACACCACTGTGTCACCATATTGCTGTTTTTTTGAGACACATATTTAAATCTTCAACTGATTTTTTTTTTTGTTTTAGATGATCCAGAACATGATCGTAGGCTACTTTCAGACATGAGAGCATTAGAAAGTTTTGAGACCAGTTTCTATCTTAATTATTAATAATAATATGAATGTAGTATATAACTCGATGTATGTAATGTAATTCTACTGAAACATAAACAAGTTTTACTTGTGCCCTATGGGGATTTATATCATAGAAGGTTATGTTAATTACATAAGAAAATAAAATGGCATAACACAATAATGCATGAAAACACAGTAAACACTACTTAAATGTGCAGTAGTCCTGCAAGTTCTATGCAGGAAGCCTTAAGCAATATTCATGTTAGTAATGTGCACTTAGATAATACATTTTTGAAAATACATATCTGATAAGGAATATAGAAAAGACTGGAAAAAAATTGGATGTGAAAGGGTAAAGCATCTTAGGTTATAGTGTTCCCAAACTCTCTGTGGATGTCTTAAGTTGTTTTATGGGGTCTTGAGCCTTTTGTTTTGTTGATGCAGTTACAGCTGTTTGTGGAGCACTTAGTGTCACCACACACTGTTCCAAGTGCTTTACATTGATTATCGCTGCATAGAAAGAGCAGCTCTTCCCAGCATTCAGTCTCCCTTATACCCCTAATTTTTTCTCTATAATACTTACCATCCTCTGACACATACACATTTATTTGTTTATCATCTGTTCCCTTTTTGCCTTAAATGGCAGGTCCTTGTGGGCAAGGAGTTTGCTGTGTCCACTGCTGTATCCTTAGTCCTTAAAAGAGGTCGGGCACAGAGTACTTAATAAATACTTTTCAAAAGGAATGATTTTATTAAATCTCATCTAGCCCATAAAGTGGGTATTACTGTGCTTATTTTAAAGATTTTCCTCATTTAAAGATGAGGAAAATGCTGCATGGAGTTGCTAAATGCCTTGCCCAAGGTTACACAGTCAGTGGTGGAACTGGTATTTGACTCCACTACATAAGAGAACTTAACTAATTTTTAATACCTTTATCTCAAGAAAAAAATGTTTTTTTTTTTAGGTTTAATGTAATGGCTGAGGGTAAAAAAGTAAAAGCTCTTAGAAACCATGTAGTTTAATGTAATCATAGTGTGAAAGTCTCTATATTATAGGCCTTAACTATTAATCAGAAGGGAAGACTTAATACAGATTAGTATAATCCTTCTTGCAAAACATTTTTAAGTAAACTTCAGATTTTTGTCAGCTAACATTACAATATTTTCTTACTTTTGTGAAATATTTTGCATTTATTTATGGCACTTTATGTTCCTTTCAGGTGGAGGGTGGCCCAAATCCACCTGAAGAAGATTTGAGTCCAGTTAAAGGAAATATCACCTTTCCCCCTGGTGGAGCAACAGTAGTTTATAACCTGACAGTACTTGATGATGAGGTAGGAGACGTTAAATGCTTAAGGGGACAAGGACTGCCTGTATTACAGACCTGTTAGAGAACATTATGTCAAGTATTAAATTGTGTTCAGTATTTGAAGCTATTCCAGAGCATAGTTTTAATATAAAGTGAGTGTATTGTGGCCAATAGTAGTTTAGCTTCAAATAGCTCCTTTGTAATATTTCTTTTCAATATCTACCTTATTTAATTTACATTAAATTGTATATCTAAAGCTGATGAACCTGACTATGGCTGCCAACCACCCGTAACACAAAAATTTAAGTGTTTTGTAAACCCTGATGATTGATTTTGTTAGTGATTTCAGTTTTGAGCAGGTACAGTACTACTTATTCAGCATAAATACTATAAAAGCAAAGAAAATTCTACTGCAGTTAATATTCCTTCATTTGGATGTTTTAAATGTTCACATTCAGAGGAAGGCTTTTGTTATGTTTACATTTCACATTGAAGCTCCCAAGGACTGAGAGGTATGACCCGCTAGCTTACCTGCTGAGGAAAGAATGAACTTAAACAGTAATATGCAGGAATATCCACCATGAGCTGAACAAGGGAAAACATGACTTTTAATAAGTTAGCCTTTGTATTATCAGAAAAAACAAAGGGAATAGCTGGGAACTTATAACCATCCCTCCATTTTCCTACAAAAAGCCATGAAACCATTTCACAACAAATCTCAAGAGAAAAAACAATAATTAGAAGACATTATTAGAAAAGACTATTTCTCTTTAAACAAAAAAAAAAATTCAGTAGCATTGATAACTCTAATTCATCTGGTTCTGGAACCTAACCAAAACCTTTTGTAATTGGGGGCAATAGTTATACGCTTTATAGTAAGCTTGTAAGGTCAGTTTACCTTGTAAAGGAAAGCATGGTGACTGTGGTTAGTAACGCAGTATTGCATGTTTGAATGTTGCTGAGTAGATCCTAAGCGTTCTTACCCCACATGCAAAAAGAGAGTTACTATGTGAGGTGATGGATATGTTAATTATCTGATTTTGGTAATCATTCTACAATATATATGTGTATCAAATCACCATGTTATACATTTTATATATATTATATCTGTCAATTATTCCTCAGTAAAGTTGGGGGAAAAAAAGACCATCAATCAAATCATAAGATTTTATTTTTTGAGATAAATTTGCCTTTTATATTGCTATTGATGGAGGTATAAAGATGTATTTTTTTATTTCTTTTTGAAAGATTAAATTTATAGTGAAAGAAAAGTTCAAGCAGGACAGTGGAGATTATTCCTAAGATTTCTGTGCAGTTACAACAACAACAAAAAAGGTTTCGCTTTAACAATGTCAACACTTTGCCCAACAGTGACTCTCAGTGCTTGTTCTCCAGAGAGGTGTGAGGTGTATTTTGGAAATCATGATTGGTATCACAAGTTAACTTTTGAATTAGAAAGCATTTAAAGAGAAGGCAAGGATAACTCATATGGTTGAAAACTGACATTTAATGTAGTTTTCCTGAATCATAGTTATTATTAGACCTTGAATGCTGCTTCTGACCTCACCAGCACAGCAAAACTAGTAGGAATTTATATCCATTTTTACCATCAAATCTTTAAAGATTTGGTCAAGATTGAAAGACATAAGTATCTAAAGATTGATCAAGTTTATGCCTTGTTACCTTTCATGCCATCGTTTTCTGAATTTGCATTCCCTGTGTGAAATACATTACTAACCTTCAGTAAGTGCCCTGTAAGCAAGCAAGCCTCTCTCTGCTCCAGTGAAAGCTTTTTTCTTCTGTGTAGTTGCATTGAAACATAGTGACTTTTTCACTTGTTTCTTTGCAATGTTTTGGCTGTTGATGTTTTGCCACTGTTTATATTTCTTTGACAGGTACCAGAAAATGATGAAATATTTTTTATTCAACTGAGAAGTGTAGAAGGAGGAGCAGAGATCAACATCTCTAGGGGCTCAGTTGAGATCATCATTAAGAAAAATGACAGTCCGGTGAGATTCATTCAGACTGTTTATTTGGTCCCTGAGGAAGACCACATACTCATCATTCCAGTGGTTCGTGGAAAAGATGATAATGGAAACTTAATTGGCTCTGATGAATATGAAGTTTCGATCAGTTATGTTGTGATAACTGGGAACTTAACAGCACATGCCCAGCAACATGTAGACTTCATTGATCTCCAGCCAAACACAACTATTATTTTTGCACCTTTTGCTCATGAATCACACCTGAAATTTCAAATAGTTGATGATGACATACCAGAGATTGCTGAATCGTTTCATATTGTGTTACTAAAAGATACCTTACAAGGAGATGCTGTACTGTTGGGTCCTTCTGTTGTTCAAGTCACCATTAAGCCAAATGACAAACCTTACGGAGTTCTCTCATTCAACACTATCTTGTTTGAAAGGACAGTTGTAATTGATGAAGATACAACATCCAGGTATGGTTTATGTTAAACCTACTGGTGCAGTTGTCATAATAATAAATTATTCTAAGTCTTAATTATTATGGTGTTGGACACATGCTGACCTGTTGGGTAGGTATAATTTCTTCTGCCTTGGTTTCACTGTTTTCTTTCTTATTTTGGAGGTGACTTAAAGGTGCAGGTGAATTCATATTATGATAATTTCCTAGGACACATCTGTGTATCTATTCCTTCATACTAAAAACAACCATTCTTTATGATACGGGTTCTGCTCTTACCAGGGAATGGTAGCTACTTGACATTGGAAAAGCCTAAAGGAAATAGAGTGTATTATGTGACTGAATATATTTCTTTTAAAAAATTCTAGATATGAAGAAATTACAGTGGTTAGAAATGGTGGCACCCATGGGAATATTTCTGTGAACTGGGTTTTGACACGGAATAGCAGTGATCCCTCACCGGTAACAGCAGATATCAGCCCAAGTTCTGGAGTTCTCAACTTTGCACAGGGGCAGATGTTGGCATCAATTCCTCTTACTCTTGTTAATGATGATCTTCCAGAAGAGGCAGAAGCTTACCTACTTCAGATTCTGCCTCATACAATACGAGGAGGTGCAGAAGTGAGCGAACCAGCCCAGGTAGATCCCTTGTTACACCGGACTCATGTGAATATTTATGTTTAGCTTGATGTGATGGGAAGAACACTGATTGGTTTTAGAAATGATCATTGTTCCCCTTTCCCAAGGTTGACCCTTCTGCAAATAAAAAACTCTTAAAAATAAGTTCCACAAAAAATTAGAAAATTTCAAATTTGTTTTTGATTCATCTTTTGCTCTGTTATGTATAAGAAGTGACATTTTTAGACATGATATATAAAAATATTAAAAATCAGGATAACCTAGAAAATAAACAGTTTGTTAATCTCAGATGGGAGAATTCTGCACTGTAATATTTTATTCCTCTATCTGCAGCTTTTGTTCTACATTCAGGATAGTGATGATGTTTATGGCCTAATCACATTTTTTCCTATGGAAAACCAGAAGATTGAAAGCAGTCCAGGTGAAAGATGTTTATCCTTGAGTTTCACAAGACTAGGAGGAACTGAAGGAGATGTGGAGATGTTTTATTCTGCGCTTCATGTTCCTGCTGGACCTGTGGACCCTTTGCGAGCAAAAGATGGCATCTTAAATGTGTCCAGGAGAAACAGCCTCATTTTTCCAGAGCAAAAAACCCAAGTCACTGTAAAATTACCAATAAGAAATGATGCATTCCTTCAAAATGGGGCCCACTTCCTAGTACAGGTACTTTAATGATTAAAGTAACCTCAACTTTGGTTATCCTGCAAGAATACTTGTCTCTGTTTGCCCTTGTTTATAATTTAGATTCTGTTATTGGTTACTAAAAGTTGTTGAGGAAGTCCAGAGAGAGACTATGTCTGTTTCTAAGGCATGTAAAGGTGAGTAAACCAAGAGTCCTCTTAAAGGTAATATTTTAAGTAGGTGATAATAAAAGTGCATCAGACATGAAATGCAGGTCAGAATATAATGGATAATAGTAACTCACAAACTGTTAATGGGAGAGGTGAGAAGAAAGAGAGGAGAGAGAGAGAGGCCATTCTTTTGGTTCATTTGGGAAATTGTGACATGGGAATGGGATTTGTAGGATAAGTATATTTTTCATAATGGATACTGCAAGGAAGGCATTCTGGAAACAAAAGGAATATGAGAAAATTATATAGATACTTTAAGGTAATACTAAAAAGTTTGTTTCATTGCCTATTAACTATAGATAGAATCCTTGGATTTTCATCTAATTATTAAGAAATAAGGACCCTATAATATTCTTCCATCTTAAACTCTTATTTCTTAACTTTTATTAACCAGAATGTTATTTTTTGGTCAAAATTTAAAACACCTGCATCACTTATTATACTGTGGTTATGTATTCCATGCATTTGCTATTGGTTGATTCTGAAAATGGGAAGCAGTTAAAGTTGCTTAACAGTTTTGGTTATGTAAATAAGTTTAATGCAGAATCAGGTAGTATGAATGGATTGATAAAGAAAAGTTAGAATTTTATGTCATACATTTTACCCACTGAGGTTTATATAAAATCTCATACTCCATTTATTTCTTTGAATCATGCCACATTTAAATTATTTTCATAATTTTGCTTAGGCTTGGTTTTATGGTTAATTGTATCCTCTGGAGTTCTTATTGCCCAATTTCTGCATGTCACCCTCACTATGTTACATCTTCCGATTGTTTTATATATATTGAATGTTGAATTTAGCAAATACTCAATGTTGCTTCACAATTGTTATTTGGTCCATTTTAACTGAACTTGTAGTTTTCCTGATTTACCATTTTCTTTTTGGATTATGTTTTAGTTTTTATGAATTTCACAGGGTTGTGTTCTATGTTGCTGAGACTCAGTGGGATGGGTCCTTTCATTATGAAGACTCTTGTCTTTTTTTTTTTTTTTTTAAGCTGGGCCGCTGCTCATGCATTTGTGCATTTCTTGATGGCTCCAGGCAGAGGCATGTAGTGGGTGGTCTGTAATGAGGATATATGATTTGTCATATATAGGGGGTGCCTTTCTGTAATATGCCTATCTGGAGGGAGACCATTTGCCAATGTCCCCAAAGGCTTTGTTACTGCTGGTGGCAGATCCTACTCTTCCTCTTTTAGTTATTATTATTAATTATTTTGTGTCTTCTCAAAATGTGAAATTATGCATAATTCTGTTTATGAGGATAACCCACTCTTTCGGGGATCCTGGAATTTCTCTTCTTGGAGGGATGGCATTACTCACAATTGTGTCAGTTTCCCCCATGGCTTGTGGAATGTTCTTACGAGATGACTGGCCCCGTGGTGAGGGATCTGGCTCTGGGAGGTGGAATGGAGCAAGTGGTCAAGCCCATGGCCCTGGCCATGTTGAGCAGGAAGTAAGACAGCTAGACTGCTGCCACCAGAACACCTTTAGAGAGATGTTTAGAAATTAAAAAAAAAAATCATTAGGTTTGGCCTGGTGTAAAAACATGCTGTAACTTTGTAACTTATGTATTTTTTAAAGTTGGTTCTATTAATATTTGGAAATGCATAATAATTTCACCAGTTTGCACTTAAGTAGCATTTTTCAACATAGGAGATTTTAAGAGTCTCTGGGAGAGAGTAAGTTGTTGAATGGAGTTTCAGAATCTAATGGACGGTTTATTTTTATTTTTATTTTTGGTGTCAGCACTCTCCTTTACCTGTTCTGCCATTGGTGGCCTCTGGATTCAGAACATTCTCCTGAATATACATTGTCTTCGTCAGTTTGGGCTGCTATACAGAGAGCCATAGACTGGGTGGCTTAAACAACAAATGATTATTTCTCATAGTTCTGAGGGCTGGCAAGTCTGAGGTCAGTTAGCTGACTTGGTGGGGTTCTGGTGAGAGCCCTTTTTCTGGTGTGCAGACTGGTGTCTACTTACCGTGTCCTCATACGGAGAGAGAGAGGAAGCAAGCTCTTCAGTCTCTCTTCCTATCAGAGCACTAATCCCATCATGAGGGCTCTACCATCATGACCTACCTGCCTCCCAAAGGCCCACCCCATCTTTGAATACCATCACATTGGGAGTTAGGGTTTCAACATATGAATTCTGGGGGTACACAGACATTCAATTCATAACATATGTTTAAGGGTTTTCTGTCTCTAGTATCTCAGTATTCCATTCTCACTAAGTCTGCCTCCAACTTGTATAGGTCTCAATTCATATGAGATCCAAATTATTAATTCAAGTGAAGTGAAGCAAAGCTTTTACACAGTTGTTTTGCTTTCAGGGATGTCTGGGCGTCCTGGGATTCCTGTTGTAGCTGCAGTGACATAGCATGAGTTTGACAACGGATGATGCAGAAATGTTGGTTTTGAGTTACAGAAAACTTTTCTGTTTCCATTTTAGCTTTCTGATTTCTTTCCTCACACTGCCTTAAGGACAGCTTTTACTGGGATAGAGACCCCTTATTATCTGTGCCAATATTAGTAACCTTTATATTAGACTTCAGGTTTTTGAAAATATCCAATATCTCTATCCAAGGAGCTGCAGAGAATCCCTATATAAATAAAATCTGTTGAAGAGCCTTGTATGAGTCAGATATTATCCTAGCTATTTTATTTCAACATTTATATGAAGGTAACAGAATTTATTTTTGATGACACTTAAAAAGTAAGGAAATACTTGAGGAAGCGTGTAACATCTGAATTTTGGTGATCCCAGGTTTGAAATCTGTTGACACCAATGATTCCTGACTCAATTCTTTATCTATCTCTTTATTCAGTTAAGAAACAAAGGTCTTACAGTGCAGAGAGTTAATTTATCACTTTAGAAAAAAAAAGGCATTATTAGTCACTGACACAATTCCTTGAGGTTCAAAACAGCTGTAGACTCTGGAAGGCTGGTTGGAATTAGAAGGCTGTGTAGTTTGCATAGTGCATAATGGATGAGCAACTTAAGAATAGGAGACATCAGACTCTGCATGGAACATTGAATGAACCTGAAGAAAGGAAAATCTGAGACATGAGCCCCCGTTCTTTGGTAACCCTCTTGGCTAAATACATTAGTCTGAGATACCACTTTTGGCAGGGTTGGGGTTACCAATGTGCTCTCCCAGTTGCAAACTGTCTGAAAGCAAAGAACCACTCTTTATGAATGAAGCAGTTTTATTTAACAGATGCTTAAGGAATCCAGACAAAAAGACTTAAGAGACTAGGAAATAAGCCATGGAAGATTTGCATTTTCCTTTTGATCAGTTCATTTTATAGCCTTCTGTATCATCTTTCTTTATCTTTTTCACAAATACTATTTTTAGAATTATTTAACTCTTTTTTTTTTGGTAAATGTAAGTTAAATATGACTCATTTCTTGTTGGAAAGTCTTGAAGTAAAAAATATCTTGAGGTTTTTTTATTTGGTGTTTTAAACAGTATAAGCAGTTTGGCTCCTTGTGAATACATGGGAATGTGTGTTCATTCACAAGCACATGCTGACTCACGCACGACCATGTATTTTAAAAACTTCTTTGCCTCTAAACAATGCACACCTGGTATTTCTTTGGGATTCAAATATATATTTTATTTATTTTTGTGCCATTTTTAAAGATAAATACATGTATATGGGTATACATTTTCCTTTTCTCTAGAAAAAAATGACAGTTAATGTGGTTTTAGCTAATTGTCTTTACATTTAATTTTATAATGCAATTTCAATATATTGAAGAATCACATGTTTTACTTGACTTTGTGTACCAATATTTGGCAAATTTGGCAAAATTTGGCATTCTGTGTGACATTTATATGATGTCAGTCTAGTTTCTTTTTTTCTTCTACAGTGAATATTTACCAAATATGGAATTTTTCATATCTTTTTCCTATATATGGGTTTCAAAGCCTAGTGTGTGACATTTTAAAAAAGACATTTACTTTTCTTTTTTAAAATATATAATTGTTCATCACAAAATGTGAGAGTATGTGTGGGACCAGCACCAGTTCTGGTATTTGTGGAAAACCAACTGAAATCACAAGGCTCTCTTGGTGGTAACTTAGTGGCCTTGTTTCCACATTATAAGCCTGACAGGCTCTACTGAGTGGATATCTATCATGTCTCATTAAGTTCCATATTGCTTTTCATGTTAAAATACCTATGGTTTTTGCAATCCTGTAATGATTATCTATTCCTACTCTCCTCAGGTGAACACTGTATGGCTTGATAAGTTGGATTTGAAAAGCTAGAATATTAAGATGATGAGTTTTGTGATTTATCAGAATTCCCACAAACTCTGTGTTGAAGGGATAAATCAACAAATATTTATCTGTAGTTTCAGGGCTATGTCATCTGTTGGGAAAATGCTGAGAAGGACCCTGAAACACGAGAGTGGTGCAGTCCTGGTGGGAAGTAAAGGTCTGGAACATATGAAATGATGACAAGCAAACAATATGTGAAATTTATTATTAGGTTCTAGGTTTAGGGAGGGTAACAGTAGAAGTTCAGAGTGAAAAAAGAGGGCTGGAGAATCCAAGGACATTTTCATGGACGAGGGGGAAGTTCAAGTGGTCTTTAGAGTGGGTTCATGTTAGTTTGTGAGGTGATGAAGGGGAGCCGTTCTAGATTGAGAATACCATGAAAGCCCCTCTAGTGGTCACATTCATTAATTACAGGAATACTGTGTGTTACACAGGTATTGCATTTCTTTAGAGGTTAAGGCATGTTAAGGTACATTTGGAGTGCTCAGTAGTCTTCTGATACTGAATATTCTCTGGTGGAGATGGGGAGTGGCTGATTGATTGGAGATGTGGACAGTGGAAGAGAGGAAGATGAGGACAACTCTCTGATATTTGGCATTAAGATCAAGGTAGTTGGCTGTAGGCAACAAGGAGGAAAAGCAGATGGCAGTGCTAGTGATGATTGTGGAACAGAGAATGTGATATTCTACTTGGACATTCTGTGTGACATTTTTATGAAGGTCCAATGGCAGTTGATTTGGAGTTTAAAGGAACAATCCAAAGATTATTAGGTAGAGCGTATGAAATTAAAAAGGCTTTGGGAAGAACCCTGGTGAATAATAAGTGAGAAAAAGAAGAGGTCAAGAAGATAATGCAGAAGATTGAAACAGGGCTGCAAACGAAGGAGAATGGAGTTTCCAAGTTATTGGTGATCTTTGCCCATGTTTATTATGTTGCTGCATGCAATTAAGACTTTTTTTTAACCTAAAAATTTATGTTCTTTGGTTTTTATTGTGTTTTAAAAATTTGTTTATTATAGTTGGAAACTGTGGAGTTGGTGAACATAATTCCCCCAATCCCACCTATAAGTCCTAGATTTGGAAAAATTCGAAATATTTCTTTACTGATTACTCCAGACATTGCAAATGGAGAAATTGGCTTTATCAGCAGTCTTCCAATCATTTTGCATGAACCAGAAGATTCTGCTGCTGAAGTGGTAAGTAGGCTATTTTCTAATTGATGGGGCCTAATGAATTTGAGATAATGTACAGACATTATTTTTTTTTTTTTTGGTAGGATTAGTATTTAGAATTAACAGATCTTGAAAAGCTTTACCGTTTACATCAAGGCTTCAGTGTGTAATTTGACATCAGTAACTGGTGAATATGTGATTTTCTATCATCTTTTGCTATGATAGGAAAAAATTAGAATTGCTCATAGTTAGGGTAGGGTATTTTGTTTTGATACGGCTGCTTTTAAATAATGCTATGACATTTGATGGAATGATAGACAAACATAATTTTTTTTATTGGCCAAGTCATAGGTATCAATGTCCTTGACCTGTTGTATTCTTTAGCGCTCCTCATGCTTGGCTTGTGGAGGATTGGGGTGGCTGCCTTGGGTCCTGTGCTTGGTGGTTGATGTGATGGTGCAAAGTTGTAAAGTGCCAAATTTTAGGAATTTTGTATTATGTATATGGGCAAATTTTGCATTCACATACATACACATACATATAAAAGCATATTCACATATATAGCACCCTTCCCAACCCCAGCCCTGGTTGAGTTTTCCCACCATCTACCTAGGGATGGCTCTGGCCTTTAGCTTTATCATTGCCTGAGCCACAATCTGTCCCTAAAACCCTCTCCCAATCTCTCATACTTAAATTTGATTTAAAGTGAGTTGGGGTTCAGATCAGGAATGAGGAGAGTTATTTTTTGTCAAAGTCTCATATCAAAATATGGTGACCACAGCTTCCTTTGTACAATTCTGTAAATTGGCAGAGCTCTATTTTTCAAGATGGTTTTGATTTATTTTATTTTTCTTAATATAGTTCCCTTCTAAAGCTAAAAACTAAAGAGCATTTAGTTTTTTTATTGAAATATTATTGATATACAATCTTATATTGGTTTTAAGTATACACACGGTTCAACAGTTAATTAAGTCCACACCCCAGTAGTGCAGTTACTATCTACTACTAGATAATTGTTATGACTATATTCTCCATGCTATACTACCACCCTGTGACCAACTTATGATTGAGAATTTTTGTGCCTCTTTACCCACCTCCTCGATGGTAACCACCAGTCATTTCTCAGTGTCTATGAGTCTACTACTGTTTTGTTCGTTTTATTTTGTTTTTATATTCCACACACAAGTGAAATTGCACAGTATTTGTATTTCTCTGCCTGGCTTATTTCTAGCATAATACCCTCTTGGTCCGTCCATGATGTTGCAAATGGCAGGGTTTCTTTCTTTTGTTTAATGGCTGAATAATATTCCATTGTGTATACGTACCACCTATTCTTTATTCATTCATCTACTGATGGGATACTTAGGTTGCTTCCATGACTTGGCAATTGTAAATAATATGGCAGTAAACATAGGGGTGCATAGATCTTTTTGAATCAGGGATTTTGTTTTTTTTCACATAAATTCCTAGAAGTGGAATTACTGGGTTTTATGGTATTGTTATTTTTAGTTTTTTGAGGAACCTCCGTACTGCTTTCCAGAGTGGCTGCATCAGTTTAGTTTCCTCCCAACAGTGTAGGAGAGCTCCCTTTACTCCACATCCTCACTAACACTTGTTATTTCTTGTCTTTTGGATAGTGGCCATTTTAAATGGTGTGAGGTGATAACTGATTGTGGTTTTGCTTGCATTACTCTGATGATTAGCAATGTGGAGCATCTTTTCATGTGTGTTGTTGGCCACCTGTATTTCTTTGGACAAATATCTGTTCAGGTCTTCGACGGACTTTTTAATCAGGTTATTTGGGTTTTTTTTGGTGTTGAGGCATATGAGTTCTTTATGTATTTTGGTTGTTAATTGTTTATGAATATATTCTCCCATACTGTAGAATGCCTTTTTGGTTTGCTGATGGTGTCCTTGTCTGTACAGAAGCTTTTTAGTTTGATGTAATCCCACTTGTTCTTTTTTGCTTTTGTTTCCCTTGCCCGGGGAGATGTGTCCAGAAAAAATTGCTCATGCTATGTTCAAGAGTTTTTTTGCATATGTCTTCTTCTAAGAGTTTTATGGTTTCATGCCTTACATTTAGGTCTTTGATTCATTTCGAGTTTACTTTTTTTTTTTTTTTTTAGAGGGCATCTCTCATATTTATTGATCAAATGGTTGTTAACAACAATAAAATTCTGTATAGGGGGGTCAATGCTCAATGCACAATCATTAATCCATCTCAAGCCTAATTCTCGTCAGTCTCCAATCTTCTGAAGCATAACGAACAAGTTCTTACATGGTGAACGAATTCTTACATAGTGAATAAATTCTTACATGGTGAACAGTACAAGGGCAGTCATCACAGAAACTTTCGGTTTTGATCATGCATTATGACCTATAAACAATCAGGTCAAATATGAATATTCGTTTGATTTTTGTACTTGATTTATATGTTGATCCCACATTTCTCCTATTATTATTATTATTTTTATTTTTAATAAAATGCTGAAGTGGTAGGTAGATGCAAGATAAAGGTAGAAAACATAGTTTAGTGCTGTAAGAGGGCAAATGTAGATGATCAGATGATCAGGTGTGTGCCTATGGACTAAGTATTAATCCAGGCTAGACAAGGGCAGCAAGACATCCACGGATGCAGAAGATTTCTCTCAAAGCAGGGGGGGTGAGGTTCTGAGCCTCACCTCTGTTGATCCCCAAATTCTCACCTGATGGCCCCCCTGCGACTGTGCCTGTCTTAGGTTGTTCCTCCCTTGAGGAATCTTACCCGTCTCTGGCTAACCAGTCATCTTCCGGGGCCATACAGGGAAATGTAAAGTTGGTAAGTGAGAGAGAAGCCATATTGTTTGCAAAGGTTAGCTTTTTACTTCTTTGCAGATTTATGCCCTGTGGCTTCTATGCCCAGCACTTGTCTCGAGGTATCTTTACCACCTGGAGGAATTATGATACTCGGTAAATTCGATATGAGGCACGAATTCTATTTAAGGGTTGTAATTAGGAAGGAAGAAGAAAAGCTATAGATGTAGCATATGAAGGAAACTTGGGAGGATTGATTATTTCTTTGACATATCTTCTTGTATAGTACCTTAAGTATGTATAGGTTTTAAACTACTAACTAATTTGCACACACATATTAACATAATAGGAATACGGTGACATAAACAAAGCAAATCTATAATTACCAGCCATCTCCAGTGAAGCCAAGAAAACCATTTAGGCACCCTAGGCATTTGTGAAAATTTATCTATGATATGATGGATATTTTCCAACTGTACTTGAACCATCAGACAAATTAAAGCAGCCCATTTCTGGGATCTGTTCACATCCCATATGTTCTTTTAACCATAGATAGTCTATAGTCATGAGATTTTGGGGTGCTACAACTTGCACCCCTCCCAACTCCTGGTTGAGTTCCAACAGTACAGATCCAGTCAAATTCGTTGTCTCACTGTATGCACATGCCAGCCTAGACATCTCCCTCCTCCTTCTTATGGCAAGTCCAGGAGACGGTGGGCTGGATGCAGCCACAACCGCAGCATCGTCCGGATCCCTGTGGAGGCTTTTTGATGATCATCCCCCGGCACGAGTCCTCCAGAGAGTGCTGATGCCGGAAGCTCCTCCTCATATCGTATCTTAGTTCATTTTCTGGGTATCCAAGCTAGGCCTTGATCTTCTGCGTAGAAACAAACAGACCCTTTGCCCACACTTTGACATGCCCTCTATACCACTGTGCAGAACTCATTGGAGGTCAGCACACAGTAACTGCTTTTTTTTTTTTTTTTTAATAAGAGAAAGGAATATTATCAGAAAAGAGTACCTCCATAGCTGATCATCTGACACCCTTTAAGTGATCAACATTAAGGATATTTAAAGCATGCGTTGATCTTTGATTTACCAATAGTTTTATCCTGTTAAGGAGTAATCCCCCTTTTCTTTCTTTCTTTCTTTTTTTTTTTTAAATTTTTAATCTACACTTACCTGAAGAATACTATGTTTACTATGCTCTCCCCTATATCAGGTCCCCCCTAACAACCACATTACGGTTACTGTCCATCAGCTTAGCAAAATGTTGTAGAGTCACTACTTGTCCTCTCTGTGTTGTGCAGCCCACCCTCCCCTTTCTCCCTCCCCCCCATGCATGCTAATCTTAATACCCCCCTTCTTCTTCCCCCCCCTTATCCCTCCCTGCCCACCCATCCTCCCCAGTTCCTTTCCCTTTGGTACCTGTTAGTCCATTTTTGGGTTCTGTAATTCTGCTGCTGTTTTGTTCCTTCAGTTTTTCCTTTGTTCCTATACTCCTCAGATGAGTGAAATCATTTGGTATTTCTCTTTCTCCGCTTGGCTTATTTCACTGAGCATAATACTCTCCAGCTCCATCCATGTTGCTGCAAATGGTTGGATTTTTCCACTTCTTATGGCTGAGTAGTATTCCATTGTGTATATGTACCACATCTTCTTTATCCATTCATCTACCGATGGACATTTAGGTTGCTTCCAATTCTTGGCTATTGTAAATAGTGCTGCGATAAACATAGGGGTGCATCTGTCTTTCTCAAACTTGATTGCTGCGTTCTTAGGGTAAATTCCTAGGAGTGGAATTCCTGGGTCAAATGGTAGGTCTGTTTTGAGCATTTTGATGCACCTCCATACTGCTTTCCACAATGGTTGAACTAATTTACATTCCCACCAGCAGTGTAGGAGGGTTCCCCTTTCTCCACAGCCTCGCCAACATTTGTTGTTGTTTGTCTTTTGGATGGCAGCTATCCTTACTGGTGTGAGGTGATACCTCATTGTAGTTTTAATTTGCATTTCTCTGATAATTAGCGATGTGGAGCATCTTTTCATGTGTCTCTTGGCCATCTGTATTTCTTTTTTGGAGAACTGTCTGTTCAGTTCCTCTGCCCATTTTTTAATTGGGTTATTTGTTTTTTGTTTGTTGAGGCGTGTGAGCTCTTTATATATTCTGGACGTCAAGCCTTTATCGGATCTGTCATTTTCAAATATATTCTCCCATACTGTAGGGTTCC